GCAGGTGTCAACCAGCCAGAGCACCCGTGGGAGGTGAGAGAACGGCTTACTTGCACCGATGTCGTGTGCGTCTGCACTGCTAATAGCTGCGACCTCCATTCCTATAAATAACGCGGGAATGTTTTAACTGATCCTGCTAAATCCTAACTAGACCATGTCATGTCATCTTATCTGTCGTATTATTAACCATATTGTCTGATTCGATTTTGGCATTGGAGCTGATGAAATCGACCGAAACATGTTGTTTGCAAGGATGATGTTCTAAGTGGAGTGATGTAGGCTCCTCTCGGTCTTCTGTCGGCCATCTTTACAGAGTTGCTAGTGACTTGTTGCCAACCAATGGAGGAAAAGCCGGACCTGAGAATCGGGGTCGGCGGCAGGGGCGGCAGCCCTTAAATAGTATAGTATAGTATAGTATAGTGATCCCGCAAGCAGCAAGCATTTCGAAAAAACGCTTGCTTTTCTATTTGGTGGTCCAAAGCTTCTGAGATTTTCGAGGGTGTAGCGACCTTTCCGATGGCTCATCCAGCGACGCCTTCAAAACCAGCGACGGGGTGTGTTCGACCGGCCGTCCAAGGCTGTCCGTCCGATGGAAGGGATGAACCTTCGCACCCACAGGTTCGTTCTGGTCAATCAGGTCCTGCCTTGAAGTGTACGTATGCAACATATGTAACATATCATATGTATATTATATTCAAAAGACCACTCTATATACTATATATATACATATTGATCATATTGCTGATTGCAGGGCACTCAGAATTTTTGGAGTTGTGGGATCTCCAGAAAAGGTTCCCGCACACAAAGAACAACACAGGCGGTGTCCTTCTGTCATCAGGCTTTGACTTGATCCAAACTCTTGTTTACTTGGACATTGATCAAACCTTCCGAGAGGCCTCAATCCATGGCGCCAGCAGAAAGGGACAGTGACCCGCTTTTGTAGATCTTCGATTTCACTTCTTCTGTGAAGCCCACAGCTGGAGGCGACCCGTGGGTCAAGCCAAGATCTCTGACACCCCTGCGAAATCCGCTGCTGAAGCACCACCTTTTTCATGCCACGCGAATTGGCGCGGAGAATTCTTCTCAGACTGAACGCGCGGCGCGGAACTTTCGATGCCATCCGAACCTGTCAACGGCAAACTCCCGTGGCGCGCTGAAAAAGCGCAGGGAAAGCGGTGACCCTTCGCGTCTCGGCGAGGCCAACGGCGAAGGAATGGCTGTTCCCAAGGACAAACTCTCTTAGGCGAAGACAAGATGACTTAATAACAAGATCCTTGTAAAGCCAAACAACCCTGAGTTGGTGTTTAATGAAGTAATTGAGGTTGCCTCACCTCCTTCTCCTAAGACATTAAGATAAGCAGGACATGTGAAACTCAGTGTGCATCCTTTTCCATCCTTTTCCCGATATTGGGCAAGCCAAGATATATAGGGGTCTTCAGAAACAATGAGAAACAAACTACGCAAAACTACATAGCACCAGAAGTTCCAAAGGGGTGCCTCCGTTGGAGGCAACGGGTGAAATCCACGATCTAAAACCAGGTGCCAGGCGTTGTTCGTCTTTTTTGAGCGGTGTTTCCAGGCGGCGCTGTCTCTCATTAAGTAGGGATCTGGGAAGAATTCCAGTGGTTCAGGCAGCGAAGGGCCTGCGACAGCGGGTGTGTCTTCACTGCTGGCAAATCTGCAGGTCCTGACTGATGATATACGGCATCTGCAGCTGCTTGATCAGTGGTACGTTTTAAAAAACCAGGTGCACGAGGGAAGCTCACGGGTTTTCTCTATTCTGGTGCACCTCCCCCACCCCAACCGTTGGGCGAATGATCCGAACGCCTCATCAAACGGTTCACCGAACCGTCGTTGGGATCCGTTCGTATCGCGGAGACAGTCTCACCGACTGTCACGACGTGCACGGGAAACGGTGTTCCACGACGGGATCCCAACGAACGGGAGTCTCCCATTTTGAACCGGAAAAAAGAGAAGAAAAACACAAAGCCCATTGGTTGGGTCTCCCTATGAATTAAAGATACACCCAATGATGAAAAAATCCGCCTGGTTTTAGGAAAAGAACGACAGCGTTTTTCGGGGCGGTTTCCACTGGTCCACCCGTCAGGGCCTCGAGGAACCAATCTTTGCATCCAAACGACTAAAGATCTCATCCATCGTGAGATCAGCCTTCATCCTCTTCCGCAAAGCCTCTCTCCTGTATGGTGAAAGCATGCACTGAAGCTCTAAACGAATCACCCCTGTCACCGTTGAAGAACACTCTCTGCTACCCAGAAATTTTGGAATTCAAAACAGTATTTGATATACTTGATACTTAGTATGGTGTGACCAGGCCCTGCCCTGCTCCTGAGGCGATTTGCCGCTTGCTCTTCCCTCGCACGTTTGCGCTTCAACACTTCAAGCCGTCGACGGTCCGTCTGCTCCTTCTTTCGCTGACGCAAAACCTTCCGTCGCTGGCACTCTGCCATTTGCTCTTGCTTCTTCAAGGCATTGTGCCATCGAAGAAGCAAGTTTCTGACCAACAGCAGCTTGTCGATTGCTTGTCGCTTCCTCTTGACGCGAGGGCGGACTCTGGCAGACTTGTCATTCTTGCCCATATGCTGTTGTTCCCAACGCTGCAAGTGTTTGCTGCGAACACGTGCACGTGACTTGTACAAAGCACGCATTCTCCGCAACTGGGCCGCACTGCGACCTTCTCCAGTGTTTTCCCACATCTCCTTGACCACCTCTTGGATACGAGCCCACACGCCCTCAAGGTCACTCGGGCCATAGCGCCAAATGATGGCCCCAGAGTGCTGACCAGGCTTCAACACGCACTCGCGAAATGGTGCGAGGCGACTGCGGAGCTTCGCAACTTCTTGGAGTGATCGAATGGTAGGTGACCGGAGGTAGCGGTTTGGCCCGAGAAAGTAACTAATACGGTGCTGAATGGTAAAACGGGGGCTGAGGTCGTCATAGCTCCTCTCACGGTTTCTACATCAATACTCATATACTCCTTGCTTCAACTTCAAATCTTTGAACATTGTTTCTTACCCCATGCCTCCGATACTCATTGAACACATTGTGGTGAAAATGGAAAGCAAATGATAATGACCGCTTAACCTTCTTAGCCTCAGGATAGAAAGCAAACACTTGACCATTGCTTCCTTCTCTCGTGCCTGGCATGCTCAGCTAGAGATTGCTCCAGTGCTTCTGCAAGTCGACTTCTGAACACGGCTTCAGCATCCTGCGAGGAACCTTGCATTCTCTGCTTCACCGATGACAGGATGATCAAAAACTCAATGGCTGTTGGCAAATCACACTCCCTTGAGAGTATACAAAGTGAATCCAAACCCACCTGAGCAGTGTATCCGCTCCCACGTGTGCACTTACATACACCTCTCACTTCTACCTTCTGTTTCCTCTTTTTCCAAGACCTGGGTTGTGCAGGAATCAGACTCAAAGTGCTGGAATTTGCAGCAATTGTCTGTTCTTGTGCTGGCGGTTCTAGTCCTGTGTGGCATGTAGGAGCCTCCTGCTTTGCAGCACTACTTGAAGATAGCATCATGGAAGCGGCTTGCTCAGTTTCTCTCTTAGTCTCAGCTTCCCGCTGATTCACAATCCACTTCTCAAAAAGCATTCGCTGCTTCTGTGTGAACTCCTTCTGGATGATGTCATTTCGAACCTCCCGTGGGAGTCTTTTCAAGAGTTCATAGAGCCTTGTCAACAGCTTGTGTGAAAACATCCTCGGTGTCTCGGATTGCTTCGTGCCTGACGCCTGACTTGTGTGCTCTGGCTTCGGTGGTGCCGCACGCTTCTCAGGCTGTGCCGACTTCTTCGGCTTCGCCTTCTGCTTGGATGACGCGCTGGTCGCTCTCTGAGTGTCGTAGCGCTTCCGGGCTTCTGGATCCGCCAAGTTCTCAAAGGCTTGGTAGACCAAATGAAAGGCCTCCTTGCTTCCACCTCACCAGGGTCTTAAAAAATCAGCCATCAGGCCATCTCCCAAACAAGTAAACAGTAAACTATCACCAGCAAACATCCTACAGCTACAGGATGCATTTTGAGAACTCAAACATGGTGAAACTATTCTTGATATTTGCCTGTTGTTCACGTTGATGATGTCTTAGTCTTCTTCTCTTCCGCCCGAAACTTGGTCTTTTGGTGCTGAAGTACAAAAAGAACAAACAGTCCCATAGACTTTACAGGCTTGGCAAGGGAAACATCACGCTTGAACAGCATGGCATATATCAGCAAAGGCAGGTTCAGGTACTCTTGTCAATTTGGAAGAACATCTCTGGGTCAACCTTTACCTACTTTTTCACTTTGCGTGTGCCATGTCTGCTAGGTCATATAGATTATAGGACACCCCGATAAGATGGCATATGTCGTAGGAGACTTAAGATGGCATGAGGGCCGTTTTCCTTAGTTTTCGATCTTGAAGTCAGGGGTCATATGGGGTCAGGATATGCCATCTTATGGGGACCCACCCTGTATTTTGTTTCACGCACGTTCATGTTTTTCCCGAAAGCATTGCGAAGGGTTCTTCCGGAAAATCCTTTGAACACTGACACTTCGACACTTACACTTACACACTGACACTTCCACACTTACACACACACACACACTGGAAGAGCGAAAGCATCCAAGTGCGAAGTATGCCAGTGTCAAAGTATGCAAGTGTAAGTATGCAAGCATGATATGCAAGGGTGAGTATGCCATGATATGCAAGGGTGCGTATGCAAGCATGCAATGAGCAGGCAAGTGTGAGTATGGAAAACTAGCACGGGAGATATCCTAATGAAAAAA